ATATATATATATATATATATATATATATATATTATTAAAAAAAATAATTTTTATCCTGTCAATGTGAAATCATAACAAATAAATTATAATATTATTGATTTTAAAATAAAATGTCAAATAAACTAATAACAATTTAATAATTTAAACCAAACTATCATAAAAGTTTGTATTTCATTCATAAATTAAATTATAAAGCATTTAGTCTAGGCATTTTATGAAGGTCTAAATAATAAACTCATCAAAGTCGTTATTAAGAACATTGACATTTCATGGAGTTGATAATTCAAAGTTCATTAATCATTTGTCATCATATAAAATTTTATTAAAATAAATAAATAAAATAATACAAAGCATGAGAGATCACACTAATTCCATAATAAAATATTACATTTTGTGAAACATAGACTAACTAAATTTTAAATAAATACATTTTGGCTAAATATTAAATTAGCTACATTATTATTTACTCATAAAAGTCAAACTAGCAAATTAATAAACACTCATGTTATCTTTTCCTAAGACTCCAAAGAATAGATCCAATAAACTATGATAAACTGAAGTAGAACCATTATCTAACTAAAGCTTCTGAAAACCTTCCCTTTAAGGATGTTCTAAAATATAAATGATCCCATAAGCTTAACATAAACGTAGAAGTTTACACTCCTAAAAGTAACTTAAAAACTATTCATATATTATCTCTGTTTTTTTTCTTCTAAAAATATTAACACATGTAGCTAAACCATGATAAACACTAGTTGCACTATTAGTATTAACCTTATGTCAATTAATAAATGAAACTTGTCATATAATGTAACATCCCAAAATATAGTAATTACCATAAATTAGAACTAATCACATTTACATGATTAAACAGTGCAGTTTTAACTAAATCAGCTATCAAAGCCGAACGTTAAATAAATACAAGGTTCAAAAATTAATACAGGAATAACCAAGGTCCAAGACGAACGGTTTTACAAAAACTAATAACCGAACGTCCCAAAATTCTAAGTAAGCTAAACCTACTGGACGATCTAAGTCTCGGCCTTCACTTCGACGTCCACCAGGTTCTCTTCTTCAATCACTTCTTCCAAAAGAGTGTCTCCATCTGCTCACATCCACACGGATGATCATTGCATGGACAAGACGGACGTACATAAACAGTAGACAACACAAGGAAAAGCAAGGGTAAGCTTAGGTAATTTAATTCATACAACCATCATACAATTTAACATGTACAAATAAACATACAAGACATACAACGATTTATCAGCATAGAATTAATCATTCAAGCTCTCACAAGACCGACCGTCCGGACTGTATGAATCCATGTATCTACAGGCGTTCGTGCACCCGGGTGATGTGATAACTGGAAACACTCAACAGCTGCCACCCGAGGTTAGCCCTATCAGTCCAAAGTACTCATTAGGACTAGGACCTCCTGCCATTCCCACACATGACCTACTCCCCTCTACATGAGGACGAGCACTCACGGAATATCAGGATGAACAGCCATCAACAGCTTTACCATGGTCATACTACACAACTTATCACATTCCAACCATAGAGTCGTTCCTCCTTGGAACGCTCGTTCAAAATCCACTTTCAATATTTCAATTAAAATATCATTCGCACATTATAACTTTTCCTCTTAATCACATTTTCATTCTTTATTCCACTTTCATAAATTGACGAGCGTTCATCCTTTTCAAAATAAGGACGAACGTTATCACAGTACAGAGAAATCCTCATTTTCTGAACAAAAAGGAACGAACTCCTGTCCGCTGATAGACGTTACGAATACTTAAATCAGTTAAATGAACTGATTCTAGAAGATCTGAATAATACTTAGAATAATTTAAGTACAATTACTTGAGATCGAATCCAATGGATAGGTACGCCACAATTATCTAGATAAATAAACCGAGCGTGATTTAATTCAGGAGACAACACCGCCAGTCAATGACCGAACGCCAACTAATAGTTTGGACGAACGCTATTTACGTCCGTTCAGGAATCAAAGATAAGGACGAGCGTTCAGTATAAAACCGAACACTACTTAGGACGAACGCTAGGTAGATGACCGAGCACTAATTTGAACGAACGCTCGGTATAAGACCGATAGTTCATTTTGACGAACGCTTAGTATAAGACTAAGTGCTACCTATAACGAACGCTGGATATAAAGCTGAGCGTTACTATTATAACTTCAATTAATTACGATCGTTGGGTACCACTAGGCTGTGCCGAACGCTCAAACCTAGCCTTTCACAAGAAGACGCTCGTTCTTAAACAGAACTCTTTCCGAATGAAAGAATTCCTATTCTAAGTCATTTTCAGGGGAAACCGAACGGTATAAGACCGTACGATGACAAACGTGTTTTATCATAGGGAAGAAATATCATAATCAGATTTTTCATCTTATTCTAATTCAACATTTCTCATACAAATTCTAAATCTTATACTTTCACATACATCCTTAATTCGCATACTTTATAGAATTCTTCATATTAACCAATCAAACCATACCAAAATCATACATCTCTAAATCCATGCGTATCAAGATCGACATGCAGTTAAACTCACAGACTCATATTCAACACAATAGCAATCGTTCCTGATAATCAAATCAGCATACAGTTCATGCATCCATTTAAATTCATGCTTTCACACGCATTATACAGTATCAATTAAATTACTAAGCTTCCCTTACCTGGTCCAGTAGTGAACGCCCTAATAGAGTGATTTTTGATTCGCCCAACTATGGCTTTTTCTACGCTCAACGACTTCCTTAAGTCCTTCACTAAATCTAATCAAGAGAAACGTAGAAGAACTGAGATTACATCCCTGAATGCAGTTGAGTCTGGGCTCACATGAACTCCAGAAACGAGCGTTTAGAGTTCAGAGGCTTACCGGTTTCAGTATCGGAAGTTGTTCGGTTCAGATTGAAGCTCACAACTCCGGAAATGCTCCTATGGTTTCTGAAACGTGATCAGAGGAGATGGTGGTGAGTTATAGTAGAGAGAAGATGAAAGGTTCTAGAGAGAAGGAGGAGAAAAATGGGGTCTGAGGTTGAAGGGAAGAAGATGAGTGCAGAAGAGAGAGGAAGGGTTTTCCAGAAAAGTTCATTTTGTTCCTTCCCACATCCGCACGAACGTGCGTCTCCCCCTTCGACACCTGTACCCCCATTTCTGATTCTCAATCTACCTCGGTGACACTTGGCAGTGCGACAGAGAGAATGCATGTGCGTTTTTAATGCACTGCAGAGGGATTTTTTTCGGGATTAATAAAGGGAGGTGACAGGTAATTAAGAGTGTGCATTTTCCGAGGTCTCACATATAATATCTATATATGAAATCATACTACTCTTCCTAATTTGAATATTAAAAAATTTTAGTACAAAAAAATCAAAAACAATATTACTCACACTTATTTAAATTTATTTATAGTCATACGCACTGTCTTTTTAATTAATTAAAACTTAAAATTTACTATCATTTATCATCTTCCTGAAATAATTTGAAAGTTAAATAAAACAATTTTCTAATATGTGTAGGGTTTCCTATATAACAAAAAAGAGTTTCAGAACGTACTATAATATAGGTTTAATCATTCACTAAGTCCCTATTTTCGCATGGAATCTCAATTTCGTCCCTTTCTTTCTGAAAATATCAATTGGGTCCCAATTTTATGAAAATTGCAACAAATCGATCCTTTCCGTTAAATAGTGTCAAACGGCGTTAAAAAAATTTATGAGTGGATGCTGAGATGACGAACGAACGCTCGTCCACCAGCGAACGAACGCTCGTTCACCAGCGAACGAACGCTCGTCCACCAGCGAACGAACGCTCGTCGACCACCGAACGAACGGTCGTCCAGTGTGGAACGAACGGTCGTCCAGCAGTAAGAGGTCCACGAGCGTTCGTTCGCTGGTGGACGAGCGTTCGTTCGCTGGTGGACGAGCGTTCGTTCGCTGGTGAACGAGCGTTCGTTCGCTGGTGGACGAGCGTTCGTTCGTCATCACAGCATCCACTCATCAATTTTTTTAACGCCGTCCAGCCAATTTAACGGAAAGGATCGATTTGTTGCAATTTTCATAAAATTGGGACCCAATTGATATTTTCAGAAAGAAAGGGACGAAATTGAGATTCCATGCGAAAATAGGGACTTAGTGAATGATTAAACCTATAATATAATATGCACATACCCGCTACGGAGAAGATGCTTTATGTGAATTTTATAAAATTGAAAAGACTAAATATTATATAACTTAATTTGAAAACAAAAGGCTCTTTTTTTTTTTAATAATAGTTTAAAGATAAAAAACACATCTAATCTTAATTTAAAAATAGAATGAATTTGAGAACCAAAAGAATATATATAAGTGGTATGTTGTTTTCGTTTTATTAACATAAGAATGAGTTCCACCAATAAATAAATATGAATTTATTTATTTAAAAAATTGTCTCCTAATTAAGTAAACAATAAGTAACATATGGCCAATGGAAAGAATACTCTTTACAAGTAACTCAATCTTTCTAGATCGGGTCCTTAACTTAAAAGGGTTTTTGGACACTTTATTCTCTTTCTCTCTTAGTATACTAAGTTTACATGCAGATTTGACAGCATTTTTGTTGTATATGCACACGCATTATTAATTAAGCTATAACATTTAAACATAGTGAAAACATTAAAAGTTTCATCTTTAGTGCAAAATATATCATTATAAGCAAATTAATCAAAACAATATGATCATTTTCTAATAGCTTTAGTTTGTCCATGACATTTTTCCTTAAAACTTTCATTAGCTTCTAAAGTAAAGCCATGCAGAAAAATAAAATAGTTTTAGCAATTTTTTGATCTTTTTTTTTCAGCAAAAACATTTAGATAGATATAAATAGTATTTTTTTTTGTGATACTTTTTGTCTGTAACTAAAATCACTGTCGTGTGCAGTAGAAGCTGAGATCTATGCAATGTATATCCGGAAAGCTATAAATGTTCCCAAGAAGAAAAATTCTATAATTTGAAGTTTGTGTATCCACTATTGTCAATGTTTTATGGAAATCATAAATGAAAAATACTTTTTATTTAACATGTTCATGGGAATAAATCGAACGAATATCGTGTAATGCTTTAAATCTACGTAAAGAAAACTATATATTTTGAAATTTCTTTTTTTGCCACTGAAGTGAATTTTGGTTTTAGTCACAATTGTTTTTAAAGATTTCTGGCATTACGAAAGTGAAAGGCGTCTCTATTTTGTTTCTAATAACGTGATTAATATGTATTAGTTTTTCCTTTTTTTTTTCTAATTCAGTAATGTTTTAGGGGAGAAAAAAGAGTGTACATCTAGTTCTCACTGAGAGACAAAATTGCTTAATCTTTTTAAAGCATCCAGAGTTAATATTTTAACATAATTCTGACATGGTTATCTCCCATTAATAATAACTTCTTTAAAAATTTAAATATTTTAATTGAGTTTTTATTAAAAAATTATATACTAAATACTTAAAACTAGTAGTATAATATACATATTAAGAAATATGAAGTTTAGAGATGGTAATAACGTGTTGAAATGGATGATGTTGGTTATCTTATTTGCAAACAAAAAAAATTATCCCTTATATGTTAAATATATGTTTAAAAATATTTGCGAATATTCATTAGAGTGATGAATATTTAAAAAAGATATTTTATTAAAATTAAATATAAATAAAAAAAATATAATATATAATATAAAATAAAATAAATTTTAACTTTAATTAATTTAACTTAAAAATATAAATTTAATTTTAATTTTAATAAAATATAAATTTAATTTTAATTTTAACTTTTTACGAGTAATAAAGGTAGTATGATACACATACTTGATCAATTTATAAATCGATTTTAAAATACCGTTACCCACAAGTAATGAATATCAATTATTTATCGCAAGTTTTATCTGCAGATATCCATAAAAATGGATATTTTGATCCGTAGATACCGATAATGTGTTTAATGTAAAATATCAAATTATTTTTATTGTTTTGATTAAAAACATGTTAGATAATAAAATTGTTAGACTCCTTGATAAGTACAACGACTAAGGACGTGTCACCATCATTACTTTTAATGTAGGTGATGATGATAACATGTTTTCAATAAAACACAATAAGAAAATTAGTCAGTAAAATAATATTTATTAACAAATTTCACTGATAAATTTGCCGCTAAAACAAATTTTATTGATGAAATTTACTAACAAATTTTAAGATTTTAATTATTGATAAAAATATTTATTGATAATGAATCCGTTGGTAAAATTTATCGGTAAAATCGGTAAAATATGTTGGTAATTCATAATTTATTCTTGACGGATATTATCCTTGATAAAATGATCATCAAAGATCTTGTTTTATCTTTGACAATATTATAGTAAAATTCGTTGATAACTAATTTTTTTTAATCTATCAATAATTTAATTTTTTGAACATTTGTCGAAAAATTTGTTAGTAATTATTTTTTGAAAATTTGTCGATAAATATTCATTGATAATTCATTCCATATGATTTAGTGGATCATTTTTGAACCAACCTAGTCTTGTATCTCTCAATGGTTCCATCANCAAGAAAATTAGTCAGTAAAATAATATTTATTAACAAATTTCACTGATAAATTTGCCGCTAAAACAAATTTTATTGATGAAATTTACTAACAAATTTTAAGATTTTAATTATTGATAAAAATATTTATTGATAATGAATCCGTTGGTAAAATTTATCGGTAAAATCGGTAAAATATGTTGGTAATTCATAATTTATTCTTGACGGATATTATCCTTGATAAAATGATCATCAAAGATCTTGTTTTATCTTTGACAATATTATAGTAAAATTCGTTGATAACTAATTTTTTTTAATCTATCAATAATTTAATTTTTTGAACATTTGTCGAAAAATTTGTTAGTAATTATTTTTTGAAAATTTGTCGATAAATATTCATTGATAATTCATTCCATATGATTTAGTGGATCATTTTTGAACCAACCTAGTCTTGTATCTCTCAATGGTTCCATCAACCTTGTATTTTACTTGTCAAACTCACTTGCACCTAATATTTTTTTTAGTTGTAGAGTGACTAACTTTCAAGTATTATTCTTTTCCAATGTCTTCATTTTCAAATACATAGCTTGCTTCCAATTTTTTGTGAATTAATTACAGTGTTTAGGCTTGTAAGAAAGGTTTTATGTCTAAGAGAGAATTTTTCAAGCCGACAGCGGATGACAGTAAAAAAGACATTGTAGAGAACTGAAATTAGTAAAGTTGAACTGAAGTACTCAAACACAAGTGTTAAAAGATAAAATTCATAGGACATTCGTTGACGACATGATGGTCGTCTAACCGAGATGATAAAAAATCATGTGATCGACGATCGAAACTGGAAGTTTAATGGTGGCAGCGGTAGACGACGAACTCTAGTGATAGACGGCGCCACGAGGGATGTAGTGGCATAGACAACAATACCATATCAAATATAGTGAAAACTATGTATAAGATTAATATCCCTTATATTAAATATACATATATGATACTTTATTTATAATAAAAAGAATATGAATTAAGTCCAAAAATAATAAAAAGGATAATGAACTAACTAAAAATAAAAAATAAAAAATAAAAATAATTTATTTAATAAAATTAATATAAATAATTTAAATTTTGTAAAATTTAAGTAGTCAATTTTTATATAGCAAAAAATTATTTGATCTTTTTTTTACATTGCTTCAGGAACGTATATTAAAAGTTTAAGAATTCTTGAAGCAGAGTGCAAGAAGTTGCATTATTTATTTTTGGTTTAATAAGTATTTTGGTCCCTCTTTTCGTAGGGTCTGTTCAAATTGGTCCTACTTTTTTTCAAAAGTTCACTANAAAATTTGATCTCTTGAAGGGGCAGTTGATTGATTCTGGCATTACATCTGCCGACATATTGAAGGTTAATTTTATTCTATTAATAAGTATTTTTCTATCACATTCTTGTTTTTAATTGATTTGTTTGGTAATGCAGGGAGTTATTTCACTAATATTTGATAAGGCAGTGCTAGAACCAACATTTTGCCCAATGTATGCCCAGCTATGTTCTGATCTTAATGAAAAGCTGCCTCCATTCCCATCTGATGAGCCTGGTGGGAAGGAAATCACTTTTAAGAGAGTGCTCTTGAATATCTGCCAGGAGGCTTTTGAAGGTGCAGATAACCTGAGGGAAGAAGTGAGACAGATGACTGCTCCTGAGCAGGAGATGGAGCGAAGGGATAAGGACAGACTTGTCAAGATTCGAACCCTTGGAAACATTCGTTTAATTGGTGAGCTATTGAAGCAAAAAATGGTTCCCGAAAAGATTGTTCATCACATTGTTCAGGTTCTATCAGGACTTGAGACTCGATTGTTATATAATTTATTGTTGGTTTTGGAGTTTCCACTTACCTTTGTGGTTGACTGATGCTTAATACAGGAGCTTTTAGGTCCGCCTGACAGCAAGGTATGTCCAGCTGAGGAAAATGTTGAAGCTATATGTCAATTTTTCAACACTATTGGTAAGCAGCTTGATGAAAGCCAAAAATCGAGGCGTATTAATGATATGTACTTCAGTCGTTTGAAAGAATTGAGCACCAATCCCCAACTTGTTCCACGGCTGCGGTTTATGGTTCGTGATGTTCTAGATTTGCGTTCTAATAACTGGATTCCTAGACGTGAAGAGGTAAGTTTACTCGATTTACTCTTGAAAATATGCTATGACTCAGTTTGAAGGCACTTCCGTTGCTTATTTTATTTTTATCTATTAATTGCTTCTGCTTCTTTACTAATGTAGGTGAAAGCCAAAACCATCACTGAAATTCATTCAGAGGCAGAGAAAAATCTTGGATTGCGTCCAGGTGCCACTGCAAGTATGAGAAATAGCCGTGTAACTTCTGGTGTTCAAGGAAATGTCAGTCAGGGAGGATTTCCAATTGCCCGACCTGGTACTGGTGGTATGATGCCTGGGATGCCGGGGACAAGGAGGATTTCTGGAATTGATAATGACAACTGGGAGGTTCCCAGGACAAGATCAATGCCGAGAGGAGACATGTCAGGCATGCAAGCTGGAGGGCGTGGTCAGTCTCCTTTCATATCTAAGACACCAACTGTTAGCTCAAAGTTACTACCTCAAGGTAGTGGTGGTACTATAAGTGGGAGAAGCAGTGCCCTGGTGCATGGAGGTGGTGGTGCTCCTTCTGCTCGTCCATCAAATGTTGGTTTGAGTACCGAGTCCACACCTCAAATGCCTTCACCTGTTAAAGCTGTTTCTGCCATACCCTCTGAGAAGCCACAAGCTTCAGCTCCAAAATTGAATGTTGACGAACTTCAGCGTAAAACTAGTTCTCTTCTGGAGGAATATTTCAGTGTCCGGCTTTTGGACGAGGCATTGCAGTGTGTGGAGGAACTAAAAGCTCCGGCTTATCATCCCGAAGTTGTGAAGGAAGCCATTTCCATTGGACTAGATAAAAGTCCGCCATGTGTTGAACCTGTTGGCAAACTTCTTGAGTATCTGTTCGTGAAGAAGATTCTTTCAGCCAGAGACATAGGAACTGGGTGCATGTTATTTGCTTCTCTGCTGGATGATATCGGCATAGACTTACCTAAAGCACCAAATAATTTTGGTGAGATAGTAGGGAAACTAGTTTTGGCTGGGGCTTTGGATTTTAAGGTGGTGAGAGACGTCCTGAAGAAGGTGGAGGATGACCGGTTCCAGAAAGCAATATTTTCTGCTGCATTGCAGGTAATTAGCTCTGCATCTGGGCAAGCTGTGTTGGATTCACAAGCATCTGATATTGAGGCCTGTCAGAGTCTGTTCAACTGAATCAGATGAGTCTGCATGAGAATATTGATCCCTGTAACTGAACGAACATCAAATTCCCTTCCCTATAAAAGCTCTCACTTTTTAGAGCACTTTGTATTACAGTATGTTATAAAAGTGGGAGCTTCCAGTATCAGGTATTTTCTCGAGTTGTATAATTTTTTTTTTTGTTTTCATGTCGTAGAGGTGTTTTTTGAGGGAAAAGTTAAACCATAAAGCTACGGATTTTGTTTTCCAGTTGGCTAATCATGTGCCAAGAGAGTGGCCCATCCATCCGGGGGTCCAAATGTTTTTGTACTTCATTAGTTTCATTTTTTTCCCTTTATTTTCTTGACAGAGTAATTGTTAAACTGGTCAGTTCATAAATATCATTGTCGTTACTTTGGCATGTATTTTTTGAAGGTTTGAATTCAACTTTGTGTGGGTGCATGTCCAGGTATCACGTATTTCCTTCCTATAGAGTGAGGAAGGTCTCATAGTATCACGGATTATTATATTTAATTTCGATATGCCAAATCCCATCTTCTCATATACTGTTTTATAGTCTTTGCAAATTTTATTCTGAACTATCTTGTCCTAAAATGATTTTTATTGAAATTAAATTTGAAGCGAAGTGATTAATATTTAAATGTTGGTTGTTAGTGACATTTAGGAATAATTTGCAGTGAAATGTAGAGTTGATAATTTTCAGATATTAGGTTGGAATTTAATTGGAAAGAGGTAAAAATTTATAGTTTTTTGTTTGGTTGTCAGCTTAGGGTATCTAGCTACCTGAGTCGAGAATATCTTAAAAATAACATAATTATTTATGTTGTGTACCTGTCACAGATTTGAGACTTGTGAATGAGTTGTGACGGATGCAGATTGGTACTCTCTCTATCTTTGACGTTTAATAGAAACAGTTTTATGAAAAAAATTTAAGGCTTGAAACACTATTAAGGTATTCTCCTTTCGAACCTAAAATGGCATCACGGGATTCCCTTAAAATGTAGGTACTTGTTTTTGCTTTTGAAAAATTCAATATTTTCAAGACATGAAATTGTTCATAAAACTAATAATTACAATTTTAATCGTTATGTATATATAAAAATATAAGATTTAGACCATAACTGAAAATTTGTACAAAACCATTAATTTAATAATCATTTAGTAATAAAAAATCAAATATAATCGTATTATAAATCAATCGACATTTTATCTTTATCAATAATAAATTAGCTTAAAGATGTTTTTATTCTTAATTTGACACAATTATTTTTAAGATTTAAATAAATTATTTGTAGGTTACTTCTAAATAACTATCTTAACTTTTTTTTATTCATGGGATTGTTGATAGGGATGATAATGGGTGCAGTACATATTTTATTATTCCATCCATAGTTTCAAGTAAAAAATTAATTAAACAATTAAGAAAATCACAACTAAAAAATGTGATATTATAAAATTTAGTGACAAAATAGACATTTTTTTTCTATACTAAATATTAATAACGAAATTATAATTATATAAATATCAAATAAAAATTAGGAAATAAATTATAGATAATATTAGAAAAATTATTAAATGTGTATTTAGAAATAAGTTATGAAATTAATAATAAAGAAAAATTAAACTAAATATTTTAAATTATTAAAGATGTTTTTAGTAATTTTTTTGAGTTGAAATTAGGAGAAATTATTATATATATACATTCTCTTCTTACATTGAATTTAATAAATTATTTATTTAGAAAATAACATTTTGAAAAAAATTATAATTGTTTAAAAATAACAAGATTCTATTATTTTAATATTAAAATACTTTAATATAAAAAGTTTTGTAATGAACTGTTTATTTTGGACTCACTGTCAGTTGAGTTTTAAATATTTTTCTTAGTCTTATTCTATTTATTTATTGTACGTGAAATTTCTTTTATGTATATCATTTTAGTTATCTAAATAAGTCTTTATAAATCAACGATCATGTAATGTTTCTTGTCATTTATATTGATAAAATCATATTAGTACCATATGTTTATATATTTAAACAAATTGTTTTCTTTATAATCTTATAATGTCTTATTTTATTAATAGTAATTATATTACAAATTAAGTATTATTGATAGATATTAATTTATAAATTTTCATTAAAATAATATAATAAAGAATTCACGAAAAAAAAACTTAAAGAAAGATTGTTTATAGATGATATAAATAACCATATCTCTAGAAAAATTAAAGTTAATTTATGACTTATGTTATAATTTTTATTTTAAAAAGTAAGGAGCTAAAGCGACAATTTAAGTAACATTTCATTATAAAAAAACAAACTTATTAGTTAAGTAATAACTCATTTTTACTAAATTTGTTAACCTAAAATGATATTATATATATATATCACTCATTTTGGTTATTTGGTGTATAATTTTGATGAAAAATAAAAAGAAAGTTATTAGTGGGATGTATGTAAGACCATGAAAAATATTTACCTTAATTGTAACAATTTTATTATTGGTAGTAATAAATTTATTTGGGAATGGAAAATATAATTAATAAGTTAAATATAGAAATTTTGGTAGCTTAAATGGTAGAAAATTGTGGTGATTTCAAGAACATGAGTTCAAGCTTTTTTTTACATTTTTGTTAAAAAAAATTATAGTGGATGAAAATTCCATGTTTGAAGACATTATTGAGGGATCAAATAGGCCAAGCGGTGATTAAAATATTAATATAATAAGATAATATTAAAATAATAAATAATATTAAAAAATTGTTAAATAGTAAAAATTTTGGACTATAAATAGCCATTAGAGGGGAGGTTATTCTGCATAAAAAGAGGAAGAATCAGGTGAGAGCTTCAGAAATAGAGAAGAAAAAGTTAGGAAGAAATTTTTAGTTGCAAGAAGAGTAGAGGTTCGGGGTGTACTGTATAAATATTTTTACGGACCGTTTCTGTCAAACCTTTTCTTTTTCTATTTCGGATTCGAACCATTTTGTTGTAAATGAAAAAAGCGCATTTTTGTATATATTGATATGTATATCAATATCCACTTTAGTGAGATCGACACAAATTACTCGTAATCCGTTTCTTATTCTTATTAACAAATCGATTGAAAATTGAATCAATGAAAAAAAAAGATTTGGAGAGTTTTCGGGGAAACAAATCGGAATAGAGCTAGTCTGGAATAGAGCTAGGGGAGCTAACCTTTCTAAGCTTTTATATTATGATTTAGTATTATTTTATTACTATTAATGTCTTGAATTTCTGTGTTAATATTATATGATGTTGTTTTGAATCTGTAAATAAGAAATTTGTTAAAACTAGTTGAGGAAAACTTTGGCTAAGGAAATACTTGGTACTTAAGTTGTCCATAGTGACGCACCTCTCTTTCTTGGAAGTCTACTTGACAAGTTTTTAACTTAAATATTGTTGAACAGATTATGTACTGTTAAACTATTGTGCAATATATCTCGTTGGAATGAAAATATCTGATGAATTCCTGTTATTGTGGTAGATATGAAATTATGAATTATAATTGTGATGGTATGATAGAGAAATCTTAAAAACCGGAGTTGGTACATCCCTGATCATAGAGCAGCCCTGGTCAAATCCAGTAAGTTGTGACTAGTCATATGTACTAACGTTTATGGTGAGTTTGATTCGTCAAACATTTGATTCTTCTCCGGTGACCATTTATAGTGATATTTTAGTATTGTTAATTTTATTTATACATTCATTTTGTATGATTTCTGTGATGATTGTATTTTATTATATTGGATTTGAATTTATGCATCCGAACATGATATGAGTATTATGGGGAGATTTTGTAATGGTATAATGTGAGTTGAGGAATATGAGCATGGTATGAGTCTCGTAGAGAGATTCGGTAATGATATGGTATTTGTGTATATGTTGATGTTGAGGGTCCTGTAGGTGGAGGTTATCTTGATACTCTAATAATCATCCAGTCTCAAGGATGAATTATGTGGTGAGAGGAGCAGGAGGTCCTGGTCTATGTGCCGGTTTTGGACATAGTGTTGAGGACTAACCTTGTGGATGGTATGTAGTATTTTGGAAGTGTATTTGTAAGAAGAAGTAGAAGTCATCACAAGTGCATAACCTCCTCCCATGACCGCTCATCAAGGTATCATCGGGATGAGTGTCTATTGTGGTATTGTGGGATGAGTATCTATGTGCGATTGTTGTATGACGGTATGAGAGTGTCTGACATAATTATATGAGGTTTGTTGAGTGTATCAAAGTAATTCTGCATGTTTTATAAATGATTGGTTGGATGTCAGTTCACCTGCTTGTTTGTGTTTGTGTATGTGCGATGATCGTATAATTCGTTATACGGGAGTAGATGAAGGAATGTCGTCTGATTCAGTGCCAATGAAGAAAGAGATAGAAGAATAAATTAGAAGAATTCGAGTTATATTTATGAGTTTGTAGTTGAAATATGAGTTTAAAACATATATATATATCAACTATGAATGATCAAGTGTGAGATTATGGGATGTTACCTTAAATGTAATTCTACAATATATCAATTATGAATTATCAAGTGTGAGATTATGGGATGTTACATCAACAATGTAATTCTAAACTAACATAAAATCAAATTGAAGAACCATATTTAAACTATGAAGAACTGATTAAGTGTTTAAAACATAAAAATCAAATAAATATAAAAGAGTTAAAAGAGTTAAACATATATATACTTAAGCATTGCGATATAATAATGAGTTATCACAAATCTAACTATGACCTTTTCAACTATAGATCTCCAATTATAAACATCATCAAAGAATGCCTTAATAAAAAGTCAATCCATGAAACATCTTCCATTAGTAGAAATTCAAAGTCAAAAGATAAAAAGTAATGCATTTTAAAGAAATTAGCATAGAATTTTATGTAACTTATTTAATCATCAATTAAAATTATATTAAACATGTCTGGTTTTTAAGCAGCTAAATAAAATAAAATAAAATTCCTAATAAGTTAAACTATGAAGAAAGCCTATTTTTACACCATGAAAATTCTTACAGTAGAAAATCCTATTTGTGTATGAAATGACCCCAAAAAAACCGAAACAAAGGTTTGCAATTGTTTTTAAGACATGCTAACATTAACACAGTGAGACATAGGACAAAGATTTAACTGTAGAAAAAACAGAAAATTTATGTTCAAGTTAACCATGTCATTCGGGTCATACAATCCATTTATAATATATGTTCCAAAAATTGAGTTCAACTACACCCCACCAAAGTAGTGAATTAATGGCCAAACGTTAGTCTCGCGTTGACGCCCGCGAGTGCCAGGCTTTGACGGCTCTACGAACAACCTCGTTCCTCTATATATGCACGTAACAAACATTCTCTGTTTTTGACAACCCTCATACACCCCATCATCT